TTTCTTTCTTTCTTTCTTTCCTTTCTTCTTTCTTTCTTTCTTTCTTTCTTTCTTTCTTTCTTTCTCTTTCTCTTTCTTTCTTTCTTTCTTTCTTTCTTTCTTTCTTTCTTTCTTTCTTTCTTTTCCTTCTTCTTTCTTACCATTCCTCCAATGTGGAGTTTGAACTCACAATACCAAGATCAAGGGTCACATGCTCTGCAGATTGACCCAGCCAGGCATCAAAAAATAGAAAAGAAAGAAAAATGACCAAATTCATTCTATGAGGCCAGTATTACCCTGATACTCCAAACCTGCTAAAGATTCCACTAAAGAAAGAGGACTATACTCCAGTATTCCTGATGAACATGGATACAGATTTTCTCAATACAGTGCTAGCAAACCATATCCATCAATACATTAAAGGAATCATTCGCCATGGTAAATATCCTCAGTTGGAAGGGTGGTTCAATATTTGCCAAGGAATCAAGGTGACATCACATAATAAAAGAAGGGATAAGAATCATGCAATCCTTTCAATACATGCAGAAAAAGCATTTGACAAACTACAACATCCATTCATAAAAATCCTCAGTAACATAAGGATAGAGGAAACATATCTCAATATCATAAAGGCCATATGTGAAAAACCCACAGCTAATATCATCATCAATGGGGAAAAACTGAGAGCTTTTCCTCTATCATCAGGAACAAGACAGGGATGTTTACTCTTACAACTGTTATTTAACGTATTACTAGAAGTCTTATAGCAATTAGCAAAATTATACAACAAAAGGAAATAAAAGGCATTCAAATCAGCAAAAAAAAAAAAAAGAAAACTTTCACTATTTTCAGATGACATGATACTCCCTATAGAAAACCAAAAAGACTATACCAAAAAATGGCTAGAAACCCATTAACAAATTTTGTAGTCTTGGGATACAAAGCCAATATACAAAAGTGTGTTGTATTTCTATACACCAATTATGAAGCAGCAGAAAAGAAATTAAGGAATCAATCCTATTTATAATTACACCAAAAATGATAAAATACCTGAGAACAAACCTAGTCAAAAAGGAGAAAGACTTATACTCTGACAATTATAAAATACTGATGAAAGAAATAGAATGACACAAAGAAATGGAAAGATATTACATACTCATGGATTCGAGGTACAAATATTGTCAAAATATCTATACTACCTGAACCAATATACAGATTTAATGCAACCCCAATCAAAATACAAAATAATAATAGCACTTCTCACAGAGCCAGAACAAATAATCCTAAATTTGTATGAACCACAAAAGACTCTGAATAGCCAAAGTAATCTTGAAAAAGGAAAGTGAAGCTGGAAGCATCATAATTCTGGACTTCAAGTTATATTACAAAGCTAACAGACACGTGAAAAGAGGCTCAACCTCACTCATTATCAGGGAAATACAAATTAAAACTACAATGAGATATCACCTCACACCATCAGAATGGCTAAAATGAACAACGCAGGTAACAGCAGATGTTCGCATGGGTGTAGACTAAGGGGAACCTTCTTGAATTGTTGGTGGGAATGATAATTAGTGCAGCCACTCTGGAAAACAGTATGGGGGTTCCTCAAAAAATTAAAAATAGAACTACCCTATGACCCTGTAATTGCACTACTAGGTATTTACACAAAGGAAACAAAAACACTGATTCAAAGGGATATATGTCCCGATGTTATAGCAACATTTTCTACGATAGCCAAACTATGGAGCAGCCCATGTCCACTGATTGATTGACTGATGAATGGATAAAAAGGCTGTGAGATTATATATATGTAACATATATTCTTAGAATATAGATTCATATAATATATATTCATATGATATACGTGAATATTACTCAGCCAGTAAAGAAAATATTGCCACTTGCAATACTATGGACGGAGCTAAAGAGTATTATGATTCTAAGCAAAATAAGTCAGCTAGAGAAAGACAAATACTGTATGATTTCACTCTTATGTGGAATTTAAGAAGCAAAATAAAGGAGCAAAGGGTAAAAAAGAGGGAGGGAAAGCAAGAAACAGAGTCTTAACTGTGGAGAACAAACTGATGGTGTGAGGCTGGGTTAAATACATGATGGAATTAGGAGTGGACTTCTTACAGTAGTGTTGTATGGAAGTGTTGAATCACTATACTTTACACCTGAAATTAATATTATATTGTATGTTTACTAACCAGAATTTAAATGAACACTTAAAAATAAATAAGGGATATTAATTATAGCATCAGAAACATAGTCAATAATATTGTTATAACTTTGCATGGTGACAAATGGTAGCAAGCTATACAGTGGTGAATATTTCATAATGTATATAAAGTTTGACTCAGTATGTTGTACGCTGGAACTAATATAATATTGTATGTGAATTATGCATCATTAAAAAATAAAATCGTCACCCAGTGTTGCAAAGAAAAGAGAAACATACAGATCATTAGAAACATAGATGCAAAAAAAATAATTGCATTTTAAAAGTACTTTTTCTGCTCCTCAATTTTTCTAAAAATCTAACAATTCCTTCATCTTTATAACTGAACTCTACTTCTGAAACTAATGGTACACTAAATGTTAATTAACTGAATTTAAATAAAATAACATTTTAAAAAATTGCCTTCCTCTTCCCTTATGTCGTTAGGCTTTTGTCATTTAGAAGAAATATTTCTATTACTATACAACTAGTTATCATGGGAGGATGAATCAATGAATATTTGAGTAATGACAATATTTAAATCTCTGCCATGATTTATTGTTCAATATTTTTTTATTTCCTTCGCAGAAATGTATTCTATTCAGCAGAAATCTAAATAACTTATTTACAGGTAATATAATTGAACGCAGGCGTATTAAAAACTAAGGCAGAAAAATAGAGAAGTTTGGAAACTGATGTCATTGCGACAGTGACAATAAAGTTGAAAATGTAAGTCTTCGGAATTAGTGCCAAATACCAGTACATACTTGTTACCGGGACAATGATTTTAGAGTATTTTCAGTATAATAGAAGTGACATAGCAAGGGCACAAGAAAGAAGTATGTGATGATAATTTAGCAATCCTACCTCAAATTAAAACTTAAACATCAAAGACATTTCTCACACGGTCTAGATTCTCAGTGTTTGTGATACAGATGAAAGTAAGTGAAAAGCCTGGGTGGTCAAGTCTCTGATCCCAATATCATCTGGAATATATAAATTTCTCAGAGACACATGCCAATTAAAAGACACAATACAAGCTGAAAAGTGCTACATTCTGGAGGTGTGTGATGAGATAAAGTGTCTTCAAAATAGCCCAAGTGTAAGAATTTCCTGTTCAAATTTTAAGTGACACATTGATAAGAAATCAACTTTTTCCACTATTACCTCACTCTGAGCTCTCACAGGGTCAGCAGTCTGTGAAGACCACAGATATTACCTGTTTACAAGAGTAACAAGGTCTCCTACTGGAAGATGCATGACTTCCTGGCCAACAGAAGGTAAGTAAGTAGCTCTACTGCCCTGTCTCTCTAATAGCCAGCTTTTAGTGGGAGATTTCAAATGCTAGATGGGATGTACTCGAGGTATAGTTAATATACAATCAAATCACAAAGAACGTTGGTATTTTTATTCCAACAATTCAGGGTGAAAAATAAGAATAAATATGAAATATCTTAGAAAATTTATTAAAGTATTTAAAATATTACCTATGGTGAAGTAATCAAGTGTATACAAACACACATAGTTGGGTCATAAATCAATATAATGTCAAGTGAAATCGCATAAGCATCATGATAAGAAACAGTTAACTTTGGATTTGTCATCAGTCTAGATATAATTACATGTAAGATTTGATATTTAGCCCAGGCTTTAAAAATGAACTCTTAAAATGAATTCATCAAAGAGTGAGGTAAAACATTATTCTTCATACACTTACTTATGTAAATGAAAGCAGTTTGGTTTTCTATAAAAAGCAGGAAGAAGTTCCTTCTGTAAAATGCTACTTTAAATTTAACTATAAATGGTCAAAAACTTTTTTAAAAACTGAGGAAAACTTGGCCAACAAAAGTCCATACTGAAAGGTACTACTGTATAATGAGTTATGTTGCCTCGTCTAACGAATATGAATCAGTAATTATAATGTGGCTATTATGTTAAAATTAAAATAACCTATATATAGTTGAGTTTATGAAAGCCAGATTGAATAGTAAGTGATGTATATAGATTATAAATTACACCTTTTTACTCCAATTTTAGATTAATAAACTAAATTGCTAGACATAAAGTAAGTTTTTAAAGATCACATTTTGTAAATTTGAGAGCCAGAAGTAATTCTAGATCTCACTGACTTCAAAACTCATTGGTGGAATTATTAACTTACACTTATTTGATTTGTTAAAATTGCTTACACAACCAAAGCTACCCTCACAACCAGGGACAGTCATAGGATCTTTCTGAAAGTTTGTAACAACAGTGTTCTTCCATAAATGATCTACATTTTTATTTATCATTTTATAGTTTCATATTTTGCCATTAATACCAATTTCTGGTGTTAAGTGAGTAGTTTTCAAAACATGGTTTTTGTTAGTTTGTTTCAATATTGTTAAGGTTTGGGATAAGTTTAGTGTATCGCATGACATTTGAACATATATAATTTTTCTTTTAAAATTTAATTTCACAGAACTACAATTATTCAAAATAAAAGATCATTGATAAGAACACATCACCTTCCAATAAATAAATGTCACCAAATTAAAGGAGTTTATTACAGGAATTTCTTCTATGTACTAAAACCATTTCCCAATCAGACTTCTCAATGTTTAACCATGACAAGATTTAAAGCTCTAAGGGAATTAGTACCAGATTTTACATTATCAACTGCAAATGAGCACTATCACCCACCTCACGCTCCACCCAGTGTGACTGTCCTGGCAGTTTTGTCATTACATACAGTCTTTGTCAAGTCCTTCAGTTCAGTTCCACTTGACACTGTGCTTGCCACTACACAGCTACAGAGATGAATAACCAAGGGGTTACCTATGCAGAACTTAATCGGGTGAATAACTCAAATAGACACCAGATGAAAGCTAAGGGCACTAAAAATTCCATTTCAGTAACTGAGCAAGAAATAACCTATGCAGAATTAAATCTTCAAAATACTACTCAGGATCATCCAGGGGAACGCAAGAACTACCACTGCAAAGGTAAAACATTTAATACACACACAGTGTAACTGTTCTAGAATGTGCTCTGGGGCACATTGGTGGAGAGAATGAGTAGGGAATGATGTCCTATATTTTTCATTTGTAAGGATCAGAGCTTGGAGTTGGTAAATAGTATTGTAGACTAATAGACTAATTTTACTCAAGCACTGTTGTAATTCATAGTCTTTGATAACTCATGGAATAGTACCTTTACTGGAAATGTGATGGTATATTCTGAGAAAAGATTTCAATGGTAGATACAGTTTGGGGTCCAAATTTCTATATGTGGACTTCGTGTGCATCGTTGGTTCTCTTGTACATAAATTTCCTAAATGATAATTTCCATCCATCCTTTGTCAGTGTTTTCATTTCTGTTCCTAATATTTACTACTATTTCCAGGAAAGATCCTTGCTAGGATGCTGGGAATCATCTGCTTTGTCTTGATGTCCACTGTGATAACAATAGTTCTTATTCCCTGTAAGTAAGTGTTTGAATGACTATCTGGGAAATTTCACTTTAATGATTGTCACTGCCTCAAAGTATCTCATACTGTTATGGAATAGATCTTTCATTTTAATGCGTGAATGCTATAAAAATGGAACAATTATTCTCAACTTGTCAAAAGTATAAATAACAGAATAGTTGTAGAGAGTATTACACATATATTCAGTTTCATTACTCAAAGAGGTGTTCTAGGAGACACAATGAGAAATAAATACAAACTAATTCTTAAGACTGGTTAAACCCAATAGTGTAAGAAATGGAGAGGTTTGGTTTTTAATAGGCTTTTGAAATATTTTCTCCCAAATCTTCATTTCTTTGTCAATATTGCTTGGTTAAATACATTTTATTACAGAATTTTGTAATTCTAAACAATATCCCAAGTTCTAAGTTACGAAACTGAAATCATAATATATTTATTTCAGTTTAAGTTTTTATGATGATTTATTTAGTTTTTTCAGTTACTGAAATACTGGAGCAGAACAATTCATCCCTGAAAACGAACAATCAGAAAGGTATAAAATGATTTTCAAAATTCTGATATTATTGTTGTTTCTATTTGCCTCAAATTTCCTCCTGCTAAAACATGATAAGAAATCATTTTACTATTCTACAGAAGTCGTTTTATTCAGTGTTCTTAGGACATGTAGAGATTGATATTTTTACATGTTTACTTTATATAGGGACATAAATTAGGGAATGACAAGCTAACTATTCTCTGAGCATATTTTATTTATATCATCCTGTGAGTGTTCCTAGATATGTATACCTATGTATATACCTATGCAAGCATGTACATTAATTTGAATTTGTTAATATTCAAATATATTTTGTATAATATCTCATAATCTCTCTTTAGCTTATCACTGTGGTCATTGTCCAAAAGAGTGGTTTACATATTCCAACCATTGCTATTACATTAGCACTGAAAAAAAACCATGGAATGAGAGTTTGGCATCCTGCGCTTCTAACAACTCTAATCTGCTCTACATAGATGATGAAGAAGAACTGGTAAGATTTCAATGTTCCCAGATTTTATTAAAGCTTATCAATTAATGTCTTTCTCGAGCTCATCAATATTTTTATATGTATTTGTAGTTTATTTTAAAGTCTGTTAATATTCCATAGCTTGACTCTATATTTTATTTATATTTTTATTCCTTTAATGTACATTTGATAATTTTCAGTATTGCTTTTCATAGAATACCATCCTTCTATAAATGCTCTTTTGCCTGAAATAAAATTTACTAATTAATTTTACCATACAACAAGGAAACTAAACATATGATTGTGCAAATTGATCACAAAATAGTTAGAATCATGTAACTACAAATTGAATCCTGAAATAAAAGTTTAGAGCCTCTATCAGTCCTGTCAACTTCAATATTATGAAATATCTTCACGTAATTTCAGACTTTATATGAATGGAATCATTCAGTACATATTTTTATGTGTATCTCCTTTCACTTTCATATGATATTTGTAATCCATCTATATTATGACATTTGTCTATAGTTTGTGAATTTTTACTGCTATCTGATATGATTATGATATTTTAAATCTATTGTTAGAAATTTAGTTCCTTTTTAGTATGTGGGTATTACAAAGAATTATTTTATGAAAAGCATTTTCTATGTCTTTTTTCACATATTATATTTATAATGATATATTTATATAAATATTTATATATATATGATGCGTAACTACATAGTATATGTATATTTAGGCATATAAATATTATATTTATCATAATAGAATAATGATCTAGAAATATAACATCATAATTGTAATTATATATAATTATAATACAATTTCTTCCAAGCATGAGAATGAAATTACATGGTCATAGATATGTGCATATTTCAATTTATTACATTATTCCAACATTTTCTAGATTATTGTATAATTTTACTTCATAGTCAAAGGATTTCAATGGAATAATGGACAGTGTCTAAAATATCTTTGTCTTTCTAGCATGACTTTTTATTTGTCATTATTTTGATTGGAGAGAAAAAATATTTTTGAGACTTTTGTCTGTATATGTTAGTGTCTGTCATTTGCTCAGTCTGGGATATGTGAGGTAAAGAGAAATTCCATGGCATTTGCTGCCATGTCATTCCCTGGATCTGGAGATCTGGAGTGCCTGGTTCTGTCAAGTTTCTCATCATCTGTCTAAATCCTCTTATGTTGATTATATATATATATATATATATATGTATATATATATATATATATAGTTGTTTCCGCTCTATTTGGTGGGAGGACTAGGGATAAGTATATCCTCTCTATCTTTCCAGAGGGGGAAGTCTGAATTGTAATGGTTTTAATTTGGATTTTTCCAAGAGTAATAGTGTTGAGCATCTTTTCCTGCACTCACTTGGAATTTTATAGTTTACACTTAGGTTTATGATCAATTCAGAGCATTTTTGCATGTAATGTAGGGTATGTAATTATTAATATTATACGATAGATAGCCAGTTATTACACAACATTTGTTGAGAGTCTATACTTTTTCCACTGAATGACTTTGCATCATTGTTGAAATTTATTCACTAAATGCACGTGAGTAAAAATTTTGCACCTTCTAAATTGTTTCATTAATCTAGTTATGTATTTTATTTCCTTTTCCTTTTTAAAAAATATCCTTTTGTTACAATACATATATATGTATTTATTCTATTTCACAGTCATCTTGTGTTTTCTAGATCTTTTCATGAACATTTCCTCTATTTTCTTTCTCAAAGATATTTTTCAAAATAAGAATATAGTTTTATCAAATGCATTCTGCATCAGAGAAATCATATAATTTATTTTTTCAAGTTTTTATTTAAAACCAGTTATTTTACTTACCATTAATATTAGTTTCAAGTGTAGAATTTAGTGACTAATCACTTACATACAACCCCCAGTTCCTTAATACTCATCACCAATTTAACACATCCCGCTGCCCTCCTCCCCTCCAGGCAGTCTAGTTTGTTCTCTATAGGTAAGAGTATGTTTTCTGGTTTGCCTCTCTTATTTTTTTCCCCTATTGTCATCTGTTTTATTTCTTAATTTCCACATAGGAGTGAAATCATATGGTCTTTGTCTTTATCTGACTGACTTTTTTCACTTTGCATAATTCTCTCTAGCTCTCTGTCATTGCAAATGGCAAAATTTCAATTTTGGGGTCATATTTCATTATACATATAATTCTATATTCATTATATATAGGATATATATATTATATATTATATTATATATATAAAATATATATTATATTATATATATATATATTCTTATCCATTCATCAGGGACATTTGGGCACTTTCCATAATTTGGCTATTATTGATAAGGCTGCTATATATATTGGGGAGCATGTATCCTTTTGAATCAGTATTTTTGTGTCCTTTGGGTAAATATCTAGTAGTGTAATTGCTGGATCATAAGGCAGCACTATTTTTAACTTTCCAATGAGCCTCCAAATTGTTTTATACCGTGGCTGCACCAGTTGTCATTCCCACCAACAGTGAAGAGGATTCCTAGTTCTGTTTCTCCACATCTACACGAGAACCTGTTGCTTCCTGTTTTGTTCATTTTAGCCATTTTGTCTGGTGTGAGGTGATATCTCATTATAGTTTTGATTTATATTTCCCTGATGAGTGATGTTGAGCATCTTTTCATGTGTCTGTTAGCCATTTGCACGTCTTTGAAAATATGTCTTCACATCTTACACCCATTTTTAACTGGATTGTTTATTTTTTGGGTGTTCAGTTTTATATGTTCTCTATAGATTTTGGATACTAAGCATTTTTCAGTTACGTCATTTGTGAATATTTCTCTCATTCCAAAGGTTACATTTTAGTTTTGAATGTTTCTTTTGTTTTTTTTTTATCTTGATGAAGTTCTAATAGTTTATCTTTTCTTTTATTTTCCTTGCCTCAGGACACATATCAAGTAAGAAATTGCAATATTCAATGTCAAAGAGGTTACTGCCTGTCTTCTCTTTTCCTGCTTCATCAAATATTGGTTGACATACAGTTAAATGTGGGTCCATTTCTGGGTTTTCTATTCTGTTCCACTGATCTGTGTCTATTTTGTGCTGGTACCATTGTGTCTTAATCACAGGTTCTTTATAATATATCTTAAAGTTTGAAATTGTGATGCCTCCAGCTTTGCTTTTCTTTTTCAAGTTTACTTTGACTATTCAGGGTCGTTTGCAGTTCCATACAAATTTTAAGAATATTTGTTCTAGCTCAGTGAAAAATGCTATTGGCACCTTGATAGGGATTGCATTGAATGTATAGATTGCCTTGGGTAGTATGGACATTTTAAAAATATTTGTTCTTCCAACTCATGACCATGGAATATTTTTTGTTGTTTCCTTTTTTTAAAAAAAAGATATTTATTTATTTATTTTTATAGAATGTGAGCGGTGGATGGGGGGGTGGGGACAGAGGGGAGAGAGAGAATCCCAAGCAGACTCCGTTCTGAGTGTGAAGCCTGATGTGGGGCTTGATCTTACAACCTGGGATTATGACCTGAGCCAGAATCAAGTCAAATGCTTAACCAATTGAGGAACCCTGGTGTTATGGTTATTTCATTTCTTTCTTTCATCTTCAAATTCTTTTATCAGTATTACATAGTTTTCAGAGTACAGATCCTTAACCTCTTTGTTTAGATTTATTCCTACGTGTCTGGGTTTTGGTGTAATTGTAATCGGTATTGATTCCTTGATTTCTCTTTCTGCTGCTTTATTATTAGTGTGTAGAAATGTGACAGATTTCTGTACATTGGTTTTGTATCCTGTGACTTTACTGAATTTGTTTTTCAGTTCCAGCAGTTTTTTGGTGGAGTCTTTTGGGTTTTATCTATAGAGTATCATGTCATCTACAAATAATGAAAGTTTCACTTCTTCCTTGTCAATTTGGATGCCTTTTATCTCTTTTGGTTTTCTGATTACTGTAACTAGGCCTTTCAGGACTATGTTCAGGTGAAGTGGACATCTCTATCTTGTTCCTGACCATAGAGGAAGAGCTCTCAGTTTTCCCCCCATTGAGGATGATATTAGCTGTAGAGTTTTTACTTATGGCCTTCAAGAGTAGAGTATGTTCCTTATATCAGGACTTTTGATGGTTTTTACCATGACTGGATGTTTTCCTTTGTCAAAGCCTTTCCTGCATCTGTTGAGATCATATGGTTCTCATTTCTTTTACTAATGTCATTTACCAATTTGACTGATTTGCAAATATTGAACCACCCTTGTAGCCCAGGAATAAACTTCATTTGATCAAAGCGAATGATTCTTTTAATGTACTGTTGGATTAGATAGGTTCGAATTTTGTTGAGAATTTTTGTATTCATGTTCATTAGAGATATTGGTTTGTAGTTCTCTTTTGCAGTGAAGCCTTTGTCTGGTTTTGGAATCAGGATAATGCTGGTTTCATAGAATAAGCTCGAAAGTTTTCCTTCCATTTCTATTTTTGGGTGTATTTTAAAAAGAACAGATATTACTTCTTCTTCCTTGTATGTGTGGTAGAATTCCCCTGGGAAGCCAACTCACCCAGGACTTTTGTTTCTTGGGAGATTTTTGATAATTGATTCAATTTCTTTGCTGGTTACCCGTTCTGTTTGGATTTTCAATTTCAGTTTTAGTAGTGAGTATGCTTCTAGGGATTTAACCCTTTCTTCCAGATTGTCCAATTTGTCGGCATATACTTTTTTGTAATATTCTCTTATAACTGATTGTGTGTCTGTGATATTGCTTTTAATTTCCCCTCTCTCAAGGTGATTTTATTTATTCAGGTCTTTTCTCTTTTTGATAAGCCTGACTAGGGATTTATCAATTTTATGACTTTTTTTAGAGAACTATATCCTAGTTTCTTTGCCCTGTTTTATTGTTATTTTTTCTCTATCATTTATGTCTACTCTAATTTTTTTAATAAATTTATTTTTTATTGGTGTTCAATTTACCAACATAAAGAATAACACCCAGTGCTCATCCCATCAAGTGCCCCCCTCAGTGCCTGTCACCCATCATCCCCAACCCCCGCCCTCCTCCCCTTCCACCACCCCTAGATTGTTTCCCAGAGTTAGGAGTCTTTATGTTCTGTCTCCATTTCTGATATTTCCCACACATTTCTTCTCCCTTCCCTTATATTCCCTTTCACTATTATTCATATTCCCCAAATGAATGAGAACATACAGTGTTTGTCCTTCTCCGATTGACTTACTTCACTCAGCATAATACCCTCCAGTTCCATCCACGTTGAAGCAAATGGTGGGTATTTGTCGTTTCTAATGGCTGAGCAATATTCCATTGTATACATAAACCACATCTTCTTTATCCATTCATCTTTCGGTGGACACCAAGGCTCCTTCCACAGTTTGGCTATTGAGGCCATTGTTGCTATAAACATTGGGGTACAGGTGTCCCGGCGTTTCATTGCATCTGTATCTTTGGGGTAAATCCCCAACAGTGCAATTGCTGGGTCATAGGGCAGGTCTATTTTTAACTCTTTGAGGAACCTCCACACAGTATTCCAGAGTGGCTGCACCAGTTCACATTCCCACCAACAGTGTAAGAGGGTTCCCTTTTCTCCGCATCCTCTCCAACATTTGTTGTTTCCTGCCTTGTTAATTTTCCCCATTCTCACTGGTGTGAGGTGGTATCTCATTGTGGTTTTGATTTGTATTTCCCTGATGGCAAGTGATGCGGAGCATTTTCTCATGTGCTTCTTGGCCATGTCTATGTCTTCCTCTGTGAGATTTCTGTTCATGTCTTTTGCCCATTTCATGATTGGATTATTTGTTTCTTTGCTGTTGAGTTTAAGAAGTTCTTTATGGATCCTCGAAACTAGCCCTTTATCTGATACGTCATTTGCAAAAATCTTCTCCCATTCTGTAGGTTGTCTCTGAGTTTTGTTGACTGTATCCTTTGCTGTGCAAAAGCTTCTTATCTTGATGAAGTCCCAATAGTTCATTTTTACTTTTGTTTCTTTTGCCTTCCCTAATTTTTATTGCTTCCCTTCTTCTGCTGACTTTATGCTCCATTTGTTGTTCCTTTTCTAGCTCCTTTAGGTGTAAGATTATTTTTTTTACTGGAGATGATTTTTTGCTTTTTGAGTTAGGCCTATATTGCCATATACCTCCTTTTGGACCATCATGTTTTCCTTTTTATTTATTTCTATGCATTTT